TGTTCCCCCACTATTGTAGACTGGGAGAAACTTGCCTCAGGAGGCAGGAGGCATGGAAATACAGTCAGATTATTCACCTGGCTCCACATCTGCATGCTGGCATTAAGTACTCCTTTGCTCTGTATGCTGTTATGTATAGAGCATGTTAAACAAATTTTAACTATTATTTGCATTTAAAATAGGAAAATCCTTGCTTTAAAATTTGATCCATGGTAATCAGGATATATGACACATGATACAGTTTCCTGAAGTCTTTGGAAACTTTCTTTTTAATAGTCTTCTAAGTCTTTATCACTTTTATGCAACTGATAGAAGTTCGCACATGAAGTCCGTTAGCATCACAAGAGCTCGTTCTGAAACAGTTAAAAGTTGGAGAGCATTTATCTAGTAGAAATTCCAGTTTGCACGAATAAAATCAGAAATGTTTTAAATTTATAGCAAATTGTGAAAAATGGTGACATGATTGCCTTTAGTGTTCCTGGGAAAATAACATGAGCTGTTATTTGTGGGGGAGCAGTTTAAAATAGCTTCCACAGATCTCAGTGCAGGAGGCTCATTCATTCATTCATTCATTCATTCATTTGTTCATTCATTCATGGCATAGTTTGCATGCATCTGTGCTCAATGTGAAGTGGCAAACTTTATACCTTTAATCAAATAATAGTGCTGATCAAGCCCCAATCATAGAGCCACGAAGCAAAAATAATATGCTTCCATTTTGTTCATATATATGAATGATGCAAAATTTCAGATTGAAACTATGAATCATAAAATCATTTTTGTTTAAAGCATTAATCTTTGTAGCCTCCATTTTTCAGCACAATATTCTGCTACTGATAGTTGTGTGACTTTCTTCTCAGATAAATTCCTGCCCTAGTTCCTGATGCGAGGGACAGTTAGTGAATAAATATAATAGCCTCATATTTGATGATAAGGTTTTTAAAGTTTTTCATGTGCTGGAGATGTAGCTCAGAGGTTAGTTAAGTGGGGCCAATCCTGATCGCCAGTACTGCAAGTAACCCCCCAACCCAATTCTACTCAGCAAAAAATCCTAAGAGTTTGGCTTTTTAAAAAAAATTTATGTCCAAGAAAACAATTGCTTAAAACTCATGTTAGTTTAATATTATTTGAAAAAAGACCGGGCCAAACATGGCATTAGAAAACTTTGTTACCTGTCACCCACAGAAGGGCCCAGTGCAAATATTCTAATGAGAGCCTAAAGTTGTGTGGCAATGAAGCCCATTCTCCTCGGCTGATTCCCGGTGGCCAGGTCTGTGAACTTTCAAACAGACTAGACAAAGTGACATCATCTTCATTTGTATGTGCTTTAAAAAGTTACTTCATTTTAAATTATGAATATTAATATGGGTGTACATGGGGATATGTGCACATAATCCAAAGTCTAGGAAGCCAAAAGAACCCCCTGGAGCTGGTCCCAGTTTTGTATACTTTGTATAATGAACAGATTAGTTCAAGCCCATCCTGAGATACTTGTATTATAAGGTAGAAACAATCAAGATGGGGGCAAGGGCTAGCTTTTTGTGAAGTATTTGAAAGTCTTTTGCCGATTTTATAGTTAAAACAATAGGTTTCTCAGCTGGTGCTGAGAGTGTGGTGGTGCACGCCTTTAATCCCAGCACTAGTCGGCACTCGAGAGGCAGAGGCAGAGGCAGAGGCAGGCGGATGGATCTCTGTGAGTCCGAGACCAGACTGGTCTACAGACTGAGATCCAGGTCAGCCAAAGATACACAGAGAAATCCTGTCTCAAAAAAAAAAAAAAAGATTTCTCTTATTTATCATTGTTTTATAGGAATACTAACTGTCAAAGCGACTTCATATCTGTAATCATTGAGAAATAAAAGTATTGAATCCTATAACTGAAGAAATGTCAGAATCTGCAAGGTTTTTTGATTTTTAACATGATGTAACTTGTGACAAATGTTTATTTTAAATAAATATTTGAATAAATTTCCTCACGAAAGTGTAACTTTTCTAGTTTCCTGTAACACACTGTCAGACCTTTTGTCAAATGAAAAACTAAATCTTGGGGAGAGAAACTAGGCTAGTCCCAATCACTTGTGTGCGGCCCTGCAGCGCCACCTTCTGGTCATTTAACTCACATAGCGCTTACAAAGATGTTCCAGGCGCCTGTTCTGGTCATTTAACTCACATAGCGCTTACAAAGATGTTCCAGGCGCCTGTTGGACTTGCTGGACACAGGCTGTTTCAGCTGCCTGCTCTGAGCTATCCTTGCTGGCGATGCTAATTACTAATTAAGACTTTCATGTGTAGCCAACAGAGCACTGATGAAGTGGTTTCTGATGCAACAGAATATAGCTAATAAAGATTCTGTTATTAAAATGATAAACCAATCTTTAAGTTTCAAAATTCAAGCCTTGCTTAAACTCCAAATAATATCAAACTATTTAAGTTAAAGTTTTTAAAATACCAGTTACAGAGGGGGAAAAAAACTTTTCTGAGGATCCACTTAAGCAATGGTAATTGTAATATTTGTAGGACTGTAGAGATAATATATTTTCATGAAACTTGGGAATGTTTCCTTCCTAATCATAAATATATAGCCTCAGGTCCTGTAAAAGTAACATACAATATATATTTTAAAATGAAAACATTTTGTAAAGTTTTTAATATGCATGTTTATAAGCACTATGAATTTTCAAATATTTTTAATATGTTACTAAATTTAAACCCCTTTATATTTTTCTGGCACATCAGGAAATTTATGCTTTGATAGTTCTTAAATTCTGTAATAAGTAACAGTGGAGGTTATATAAGCTACAATATAAAATGCCATAAATCATGTAAAGTTCCACACAGATTTTCTATTTAGTGTAGAAAGAAACCGTATATACATTGTTTTATCCTGCCTGTCTTAGCTCCTTTGGCTGTTACTGTTACAAAATGCTGTGCATGGGCAGCTGTCATGGACAGAGGTTTACTCTGCTCAGTTAGGCCTGCAGTCATGGTGACAGGTCTAGGCTTCAGATTCTGTTCACAGTCAGGAAGCAGAGAGCAAGGTGCGCTTGTGCTCACGAGCATCCCTTGTGATTAGGACCCAGCTTAGAGAGCAGCGCTGCTCACATTGGCACGGGTCTTCCATCTCTGTTAAGCCAGTCAATGCAATCACTCACAGGTGTGGAGGACACACACCTACAAGGCCACTCCAGACCCCGACAGTTAGCAGCCATCACTCCTAAACTCTGCATCATATGCCATTTAATTTTTTCTTACCTTCTGAGTTATAGAAGTATTATAAGAGTAAATGAACAGCAGTTAGCAAAGTCATCAGAACATAGTCCTCAAATATTGTATTCCATGTCTGAGTGACATGATTTCCTTCCTGTAAAACCCACTGGTAGAATGTAGCCAGTGGTCATTCACAGTGGCAGGGACCTGGGAAAAAGCGGTTCTGTCCCTTCTCAGGGTACTCTCGGAATAGCAAGTAGAGTTACATTTGTTGTTGTTTATTCCTTTTCAGCCCCCAGTGAGCCAGAATCTAAAATGCTCCAGAACAATGTACATAGGATGGTGCAGTCAATACTTGTTAGATGTTATTGACTAGCTGTCATCTGTGTTGCTATAAAAATATCACTTGATTCTCATTAAAATATTTAAATGTTTTTCCTTTAGAGCTTGAAGATATCCATATATATTTAAATTACGAACTATAAAGGGCATAGCTCTCAGTGAATAACTTGAAATCAGTCACTCTTTTCTTGAGGGAGTCATTTGTGGAAGATCCAGTGACATAGGGAATGGAGAGATAAAATACTAAGTTCTTACCCCAGCGAGCCAACTGCTCATGGGCAACGTGAAGTCAGCAGAGTGGAGCACATCCTGTCTGCTCTCTCAGAGGCAGTGGAGGTGCAAAGTACTTTTAGTTGGGCAGCAGCTGGCTAAGCAGTAGCTGAATCTTTAAGAATAGAAACGTAAATGGATGAAGAGAAGAGATGAGTGGAGCCTGTGGTAGATAAAACAGGAAATAAGGCAAGAGAGCAGACAAGGTCCCCTTCCCTGCCTCAGCCAATACCAAAAAGAAAATAACTCACATTTGTTTGCATTTGTAGCCCAGGCTGATCTGAACTTACAATGTTGCTAGGGCTGACATTAAACTGCTGTTCCTCCTGCCCTGCCTTCTAAGTACTTCAATGACAGGTGTGGAGTTTCTCCAGATTATTAACAACATGAGGTTAGAAGGTTAAATTTGGTGACTGGTACCAGGAGGGAAAATGGGAATCAAACCCTGGATCCCAAGGAGATAGACAGTGAAAGCAAGTGATCAAGGATGGTTTGTGCATTTATTTTGTAAGTATGTGTGTGAGGCAGTATGAGAAACAAAGTCAGAAGCCATAGTTTCCCTTTATAAGCCTGGATCTTGTTTTGCAGAAGTTGACTTCTTAATCTCTATATTTGTAGTATAGCCACACCTAATTTAATGCAGTTATTATTTTTTAATAAACTCATTTGTTTATTTATCTTATATCCTGACCACAGTTTCCCCTCTCTCCTCTACTTCAGTCCCTGTCTCCACCCCTCCTTTGCCCCCTCCCCCACCAATCCACTCCTCTGTTTCTGTTTAATAAAGGACAGGCCTCCCACAGGTACCAACAAAACATGGCATATCAAGTTGCTGCATTCACTTTTAAATTATGCATTAACTGCACCACATTGTGTCTTAGAACTTTGTATTAAGCTAGAATGACAAACTGAGTTTTCCACGTGTGTCATAATGGAAATGACTTTGTAAATCTGTTTAGGGCTACATATAGCTCGGGTGCCAGTACTGTTAAATGAGGCTCTGAACTCAATCCTCAGCACCATAAGAAATTAAAAAAAGCAAAAGCTATTTGGAGAAACTTTTATTTATTTACATTCTGTATTTAAAAGATTGGAAAGGTTGAGCAAATAATAGCTTTGAAAAAGCAAGGACTACATTAGATCAAACTACATGGTAATTGGTAATACCATCTCTATTCCAGGTAATCCAGGCCCACATAGCCCTATGCTGGACCTGGAGAACGATGTGCGCCCCTCAGTGTTGGGCCATCTCAGCCAGACAGCATCACTGAAGAGGGGTAGCAGCTTTCAGTCTGGTCGTGATGACAGTAAGTTATCACCCCTACCTCCACGTGATCTTTCAGATTCGCACACTTTGAAGGCATGGAGTAAAAAGATGAAAGAGACCACGATCCTCTTGAGTCCCCCATGCTGCCTTGGGTGGGCCCTGGGACCACACTACTTTGCACAGGACTGGATGACTGAGCAATACTGTGTTAAGTACCAAGGGCCTACATGACTGAGCAGCAGTATGCTAAATACTTGTAGCACTTCTGACACCACAGTATGTCTGACAGCACTGCCCAGCAGCTGTGTCAGCTGTCTCCATTGCTGTGAACTGGGACAATACAATTTACCCACTAATCTGCTATAAAAGATTTGGTGAATTAGGCTTTTGGATTCAGTTTGCAATTTTAAAGTAATTAAGTGTTTATTCCATCATAAAATGGTTTCAGTTACAATGCTTATTACTGGGTTTAGGAGCTGAGTTTGCACTCTTTTTGCTCCTGTTGTGGTTTTTCAAATAGTATTTTATTTGTTTTTCTTTTTTTACTTACTTATTTTTATTTTTTGTTCTTGGCATTTTGCCCATATGTATGTCTGTGTGAGGGTGTCAAATCCCTGGAGCTGGAGTCACAAGCAGTTGTGAGCTGTCATGTGGGTGCTGGGAATTGAACCTGGGTCCTCACCCAGGTGCTCTTCACCACTGAGCCATCTCTCCAGCCCCTATTTTATTTGTTTTAAAGTCAGCGAGAAATCAGGGTTCCCTTTTTCTTTGGTGCTACAGAACAGACTGTGTGTGGAACATGTATGAATCTGGGGGATTAGATGTCCGCACTGCTCACTGTAGATGTCCGCACTGCTCACTGTATGATCTGGGGGATTAGATGTCCACACTGCTCATTGTATGATCTGGGGGATTAGATGTCCGCACTGCTCACTGTATGATCTGGGGGATTAGATGTCCACACTGCTCATTGTATGATCTGGGGGATTAGATGTCCGCACTGCTCACTGTATGATCTGGGGGATTAGATGTCCGCACTGCTCACTGTATGATCTGAGGGATTAGATGTCCGCACTGCTCACTGTATGATCTGGGGGGTTAGATGTCCACACTGCTCATTGTATACATGAATGGGTAGAGTGCATAGGGACTTGTAGGACCGTTCAGAGCTCTGCCATCTTCAGTGACCACAGGGACTTGGGTTCTGTCCCTGTTGCTTTCGTTTATTTCCCAGAAAAGACTACATGAGATAAGGATACAGGTGAGTGTTCCACAGTAGGAGTGCAGAACAGTGGTCAAGGATCTCCATGGTGTAATCCCAGTGCTGTGAAATACTGTTCTTGGAAAACTTGCCGTGTAACTGCTATGGCCAGGCAAATCTTTCAGTGCTTCCATTTAAAGAATTTACTTGGGAGCTGGAGTGATTGCTCAGCAGTTAAGAGCCCTTGCTGCTCTGTGCAGATGGCCCAGGTGTGCTTCCCAGAACCACATGGTGGCTCACAACCATCTGTAACTCCAGTTTCAGGGACTCCAAAGCCCTCATCTCAATTCCATGGGTATCAGACATCATGGTACACATACATACATGCAGCCCAAACACACTCAAATGAAATTTTTTAAAAAGGAATTAATATTAATTTTTTTCAAAGATTTACTTATTTTGTACACATGACACTTCTGGCCACGGCCTGTGCATTCCAGGCAACATGTTGTCTGCCATTTGTAAAATAGTTTGGCATTATTTACTTTAAGGGAAAATAACCTTGTTGTCAAAGGAAATCTGTTTCATGGTAGATTTGCCTGTTCCAGAACTTTGAAGGCAGAGTTTGCTCAGCTATTCAATAGTCCACATAGATCAGGACAGAACTGTATGATAAACATACAGATAGTCTTTAGGTTTCCACCAGAGGAACAGATCAAAGTTTACAGTATCCTTAGTTATAAAGAACTATGCCTTTTGCTCATGAAAATGAGTTTAAAACTTAGAAATCCTGATAAGCTCAAACATGCAGGGTTCCTAAGCTGGCAAAAAGAACCCCCGTCCTCTGCAAGAACAAGTGCTTCAACCTCGAAGTCATCTCTCCAGTCCCCAAGTTTGGCTTTTTAAAGAGAAGCTAAGAACCCTGAGGACGAGGGTGAACCACTATCCTCCGAGGTCTTGGTCTCTGCTATCCCCCTGCCCTCTGCCTGGCGTTGCCAGTGTGATGCTGCGGGGAAATGCCTCCTCATCAGAAAGAAGGGAGTGGGGTGGGGTCGCTGTGTTTCAGAAGGTCATTCTTCTTGATTCAAATATGTATTCATAGTGTTTTATTCTTTTATCCTTTAGCATGGCGGTACAAAACTCCTCACAGAGTGGCATTTGTTGAAAAATTAACCAAGCTTGTGTTAAGTCAGTTGCCTAACTTCTGGAAACTCTGGATTTCATATGTTAATGGAAGTCTTTTCAGTGAGGTATGTATATACGTCTGATGACAGATGGACCTCTAGTCAGAAGTGGCCTTAAAACTCAAGGTTTTAAGGTTCTTTTTTCATGACTCAGAAATCTAAAACCTTTATCCATTTTCACATAGTTTTTTTTATAAAAGAAGATCACAAGTAAATGAACATATCACCCACCAAAATTAGCCATTTTCACATTTGTAAGATTAATTAAATGCATTGTGAATCCCTGTGATCTTAAGCTGGTTATGTAATTGTCTGGAATTTAGTTTTCTTATCTGTAAACAGAAACCAGCAAGTTTCTCTTGCCCAGCAAGTGGTTCTAAGGAATAAATTAGATGTGCATCTCAAGGAATAGGACTAGACTTTTTTTTAGAGATTCAGAATCGAGTGGAATGTCAATCAGACCAAATTGTGTGCATGTTATTATATATGACCAAGCGATAGACAAGGAGGAACCTGGGAGCTGAGTTTCCCAGTCGTCTGGACCCTGGCTTTGTACATTTTATAAGCTTTTACACTCTCAGGTCAACATTTAGTGAGTATCTTTTTAACATTATGTTTTCAGTTTTTTCTTTGAGAAATTCACATATTTGATCATATCCACACCCTTTTTCCCTCTAACTCATCCTGCTTGTCCACAGCAGTCTCCGCCCAACTTCATCAGGTAGCCCCGATTCAGTGTCTCCCACTACTGCTCACAGAGCCCAGTTAGTGATGTCTGTGCACATGGAAATTGGACATCTACTGGGGTCAGTTGTAATCTTCTAGGGGGCATATCTCCAAAGAAAAATGATTTCTCTCTCTCTCAGCAACCAACATGTGTCAGTAGCTCCTAGGGTAGAGCTGGAGCCTCATGAGCTGTACCCACCCTCTCCTGCGGGAATCTTATTGGCTTGATCTTGTGCAGGTCTTGGCGTAGCCACAGCTGCTGCAAGTTCCTGAGCGCAGCAGACATGGCGTGTCCGGAGGACAGCACTTCACAGCACCTCCCCTGACCTGTGACTTCATTCATTCTGCATCTTCTTCTGCAGGTGTCCCCTTTAGGTCTGAGCACTCAGCCACTTACTCTTGGCACTATGAGTCTCTGCTCACTACAGAAAGAAGCTTTTCTGATCAAGGATGACAGCAGCACAATTACTGGCCTGTTTCCTGAGCAATTGGATTCATATTCAGAAAGACTTTACCTATTCCGTTAGTTTGAAGCATGCTCCTCCTTTTTCCTCCAGTAGTTTCAGAGTGCCAGGTTTCATGTTGGGTGGTGTTTTATACAGATGAGATACAAAGATCTAGTTTCATCTGCATGTAGACATTGAATTTTCTCAGTGCTGTTTGTTGAGATGCTGTCCTTTCTCCAATGTGTGTATATGTTATCTTTGTCAAAAATCAAGTGACTATAGGTATGTAAGTTTATATCTGGGTTATTGAAGTATTATTTTCCACTGACCTCCATGTCTGTTTTTGTGCCAGAACTGTGCTGCTTTTATGACTATGGCTCTATAGTATAGTTTGAAATAAGGTATGCTTATACCGCCTGCAGTATTGTCTTTGCTCAGGAATGTTGTGGGTCTCTGAGATCTTTTTACTTCCATATGAATTTTAAGATTTTGCTTTTCTATTGAAGAATGTCACTGGAATGTTCAAGACTTTTAACAGGAAGGGATGCTAGACTTTTGTCAAGCCTTTTCTTCTATCAACATGACTGTGTGATCTTTGTCCCTGAGACCATTATGTAATTTATGACATTAGTTGATTTATGTATATTTAATGATCCCCACACCTCTGGAGTAAAGCCAACTTGTTCATGATAAATAAATGTCTTCTTGAATTGGTTGGGAAGTATTTTTTAGCATAATTTCTTTATTGACTCTTTGGGAATTTCCTATTGTGTAACCAAACTCCACTCACCTCTCCACTTACCTCCCTGTCACCCCTTGTCCTCCCCCAATCCCTGCAGAGCTACCCCACAGCAATGAACCATTCACTTGTCTTCCATTTCTCTACTACATATTTGCTCATTATGATGTGACCCACCTGCCTGTGCCTCATGGCACTGAGTGGGCCCATGGATGTCTTCCTGTCAGCCAGGGCCTTAAGGGCCCCAGCTGACTGATGGCTGGCTAGCCCCTGCCTGAGCAGAACTGCATCTGGGATCTTGGATGTGATCCCATCAGCCAGAGCCTTAAAGGTCCAGGCTGGCTATGCCACTGAGAGATCAGCCTGAGCTGAACTGCATGGGGGGTGATTAGATTTCTTCCCACCAGCCATGTTGGGAAGTATTTTGATGATAATTTTTGCATTTCTGTTCATCAGGGAGATGAATTTGTAATTTTTTTCATCGTTGTCTAGTTTGCTTATCAGGGTTAGAAGAGTTTGGTAATGTCCTTTCTATTAAGGAATAGTTTGAGAAATGTTGGTGCTAGTCTCACAGCATGGTATAGAACCTTTTAAAATTATTTCACTTGGTTTAAAATTATTTCATTTTGATAAGCCACATGCCTCTAGGGATTCATACATTTTTTACAGATTTTCCAGGCTAGTAGAATATTTTTGTTTATTTGATTTTTGAGACTGGGTCTCTCAGTGTAGCCCTGGATGTCCTAGAACTTGATATGTAGAACAGACTGGGCTCGAACTCTCAGAGATCCACCTGCTTCTGCCTCCCAGGAGCTGGAATTAAAGGCGTGCACCATCACTGCCTGGCTGAGTTGGTTTTGATGTTTGTTTGTTGGTAATACAGCAGATAGCTCTGAAATTCATAAAACCATTATGCATTACCTAATATCAATACTAAATTGGGGTATCAGCTGAGTGATAACTGCTTATTTCCTAGGTTCATTTGCTTGGAATATGAGTCTCTATCCTTTATCTGAAGGCACTGTCATTCCTTGGAGGCAAAAAATAGATAATCTTTGCTTTTTGATTTAATGTACTATCTTGTGATTTTTGAATTGGGAATGGAGACCATCAGTATTCTGAATTTTGATTGAAAGCTTCACTAATTCCTACCATTTTGTTGATCTCATAGTGTTTTGTTTCTTCCCTTCTTGCTTAACTATAGTTCTAGGGTGGGCTCATGCTTTCTTGTGGCTTTGTCAGTGGACTTGGTCTGAAGCATCCCTTCAAGTATCTTCTGTAGAGCTTAGTGTCATAAATTCCTTTATTCTGTTTTATCATTTTCCTCCATTTATGATAGATCACTTTATTGTATATGTATTATAGTCTATATAGACAGTTGTTGAAGCTATCCTAGCTTTTAAAGTTTCAGATTAATTGTCTACTGATATTCTAATGGGTTGCTTTTTCATATGACCTGGTGTTCTCTGTTGCTGATCTCAATATCCTTTTTGGTTTATTTTGGTCTATGTATTTAGTGTTTTTATTATGATTTGATATGAGGAGGTTCTTTTCTGGTCCTGTCTGTCTGGTATCCTAAATCCCTCCTTTCTGGAATGGCATCTCTTTCCCTAACTCTGGGTGTTTTCTATTATGATCCTTTTGGAAATGTTTCTTATGCCTTTAGGACAAGATTTTTCTCCTATGTCAAGTATGTTTAGATTTGTGCTTTTCAGAATGTCAAGTGTGTCTTCAGATGCTCATTAGTACCTTCTTATTAGTCATCTTTGTCCTTGTTAGGTTTTTCAAGCTCCTCCACTTTACCCTCAAGCCCAGATTTCTGTCCTCTCCTTCCCTATTATACAGACTCCATAGAATTTTTATATTGAACTTAAATGTTTTTGTTTCATCATTTTAGTTTTTCCCTTTGTTGAATTTCTCCTTTATGTCATATATCACCCTCCTTATTTTTTTTTTCAACTATTTGCTTGTGTCTTTGAACATACCTAAAATCATTATTTTGAGTTTCCTGTCTGGGGTTTCATTTAATTTACTCTCACTAAATGGCATTGCTGTAGGGTTAATACTTTTTGGAGGAGTTATGTTGTCTTATCCAATTTCTTTTGTTACTGCATGGCAATTTATGTGGTGTTATTTTGTTTTGTATATTATTATCAGCTATTGAAGTATTTACAGTGTTCAAGTGAGACTTGGGTATGATATAATTGAGTGTATAGTTTAGAAAAGAATTCCTCAGTCTAGGAGTTCATGGTGTCTGTTGTAAACACTGTATTATGCCGTATTAACTGGGAGAGCAGCCACATCTGCTTGCTATTACCACTGTGAAAAAGTCATATTAGCCAATTAATAACAGTGGCCCCTTTGACTTCAGTGGCTCCTATGGGATAAACAACCAAGTACGGTATGAAGTAGACTTGGATTTTCGCTAATAAGATTAAGAGTGGGAGAGAAGTAGGGTTCATAAAGAATAGACTTGAGGATTAGATCAACTTAAAATATTGACGTGGGTAAAGTAGCTGGGAGGGGAAAGTTGGGATACTGCTGGGTCCTCATATCATAGAGTATTAAATATGTGGAAGGTTACAGTAAAGAAGAAAAAGATGGCAGTAAGTATGAGAGAAAGAAGAAAAGATGTAGGAGTGAGAGTGAATGTCTGAGCTGTGGCTACAGTGTACTGACTGCCTTAGTAGACTGGGTGGAGAAGAGAAGCAACAGCCTTAAGACCCTGCTGAGCAGTATACAAGCAAAAGCAGAGCCGTCTTAAGTTGTACAGTCAACAGTGTAATAGAAAGTCAGCAGTAAAAACAGCACTTATGAGGTGCTTTGCTGGCACAGCTGCTCTGAGTTAAATGATGAATTTCTCAGATCTCAGGCTCTCGCAGGTTCCTTGGGGTGCTGTGTAGAAGAGAGAATGGGAGGCTTTTATCTCTGCAGACTCAGCAGTCTTAGGATTCTGGTGTGTCAGAGAGGGGAGGTTGCAAGTCCTTTTCTGGAGTTCTCTTTGGACCTCTGCACTCCACCTTGGCCTTTTCTGGTCCTACAGGTCTTATGTATGTGAAGAGCTGCACTTCCCTTTCAATTTCTCACATTGACTGAGTACCGTAATTACATTGTATATCTGTCCCCAGTTATGAGGGTGTGAAAATTCTGTGCATCCAATAGAAATGCACTTTGAGTTTTAGTCACTTTGTGGCCTGGTGAAAAGTGGCATTGCCATCTCTTCAAGTACAGATCATGAGGAGAAACAACTGGTACTCCATGGAAAGCTGTGTTGCTGAGTTATTGAGAATGCAGCCTCATGGTAGGGTCTTGTCTGTAAAGCAGTAGGCCCAGAGTTTGATTCCTAGGGTCATGTCCTCATCGTAATTATTCTAGTATTTGAAATAACATTGGCCTGGCACCCACAGGTATAAACAAGATTTAGTAGCATTGGAAAGTAGTAGACGGATGAATTTCTACAGTAGCACAAAAGAATGTAATGTAGATTAATGCATATAAAAAGCAAGTCCTCTAGAAAATGGATTTTAAACCGTGTTACTTATTTCCAGCCAAGTGTTTTATTCCAGTAATTTGAATCATTTCTTTTTTGTTGTTGTTTTTTGTTTTTTTTTTTTCACAATAAAGTTTTTCTGTAGTACTGGCTCTCCTGAAACTTACTCTGTGTACCAGACTGGCCTTGAATGCAGATATCTACCTGCCTTTGCTTCCTGAGCGCTGGGATAAAGGTGTGCACCGCTACCACCCAGCTGGATCATTGTCTGTAGGCGACACATCTTACATGCAGAGTTGCTTTGTGTCTTTCAAGACTCATAAAGTTGACAAATGACTTTGGTGTTTTGCCACTTCTGCTAAAAGAGAATATACTTATATGTCCTACCTAGTTAGAGTAAATATATGAATATTTGGTTGTAGATTAAGAACTGTGATCTACTTCAGGTTTCTTGGCAGCAAACTGTTGAAATGAAAGTAAATACATTTTAATTCGTGTGCTGAATTGGCTATGTCTGTGGTGTTTCTGACTATTTATGTCTGTAACTTTTCTTTAAAGTTATTATAATAAGTATGATTCTCTTCAGAAGCTCATCATGTTTTTAGAGCATTTATTCTCTGTCGAGAAGCTTGGGAGCCACTATGGCAAAGTAACAAGGAGCAGAAGAGTTGGGAAGTGTGCCCACTCAGTCAATGAGGGAAACTGGACACTCGGTTAAGTGGACACTGGGGGGAGATCTGTCCCTTTAGATAACAGACTTCACTAAATGTCCTGTTTTTCTTGTTGTAGAACTCTCTTAGTTTATTGAAAGCTTGTTCGTTAAACGTTTCTAGCAGTTTAAACAGTAGTCACTTCTTTAAACTATTTGGACCCATGTGAATCAGAACAGCGAAATCTGCCGTTGGGCTCACCACAAACTGGTTTTGGTCTGTGTGTGCAGGAAAGAGCTGAGGCTTTAGTTAACGAAGTGGGTAATAATACTATCTCACCTGTGGCTGTGTTTCGAATGTAGTGTATTTTAAAGCATCAAATAATTGTGAAATATTAGGAATCAACTTTTTAGTAGTCCTACAGCTTTAAGAAAACTTAAATTTTATAAAAAGCTAAACAATTACTTTTGCTTTTAAATAGAGCAGACCTTATGAACATATATTCTGTACTGGGATTGCTCAGTTCTGTTATATCAACACAATCTAACTGTTGCTATCACACAAAACTCTCATCCCAGTGCTCTCCGTTTTGTTGACAGTTAGGTCTCTGGGCTTTAAAGAACTGAGTTCACAGGACTTTTCAGGAGCATAGTGTAGCGTAGCATCATACAGTAAATTATGTTTCATATAGCAAGCACAGAATGCTATTCCTTGGTGGCTGGCTAGTCTGTCACAACAGGACTTGATACCTAGGTGATTCTTGGAGGCAGTTAGATCAGCACAGAAGGTGATTGAAGGTGAGAATGCTTCTGAAAGCATGTTCAGAACAGGCTCTTAACCACAGTATGCTAGGTGCTGATACACTCATTCTCATGTACATGCTATACATGTGCACACATGTAGCATACATGCAAAATACTCAGATACCATATAAATAAATGACTGGGATAAACTTTACTCTCTTCCCCTCTTAAAGAAGCTGATTAACAGTTAATTTTTTAAAACTTATCCTAATTCTTGAATATCTATCAAAGGAATAAAGCCAGGCTTCTAATGAAGATGGTCAGTAATGGGATACAGAAGAAAACGGACTCAGAAGACATAATCTCTCAGCTGAACCTTAGTTTACAGAAAGTAGACAGAGGAGCTAACATAGTGCATGTATGACCACGGGAAGGCTCCAAGGAGAGCCCTGGCATGCACAGGTCCTAGCAGTCTTGGGTGTCAGTGGCTTGGGGTGAGCCTGGAAGCACAGTGAGCCAGATGCCTTTGGAGAGGATCATGGGAAGAAGCTGTGTGTGCAGGAGCCATAGGGGTGGGAGAGGTGTTGTCAGTGAAGGTGGAGAGAAAGAAGTGGTGTAGTTTGCATTCAGAGGTAGTGTGGAGCTATTGTTGGAAGATTGTGGAGAGAACTGAAGGCAAGCATTCAGATATAGCAATGCAACAGATCTCTGGCTAAGAAGGTACCATTCATAAAGTCTCTTTATTGGAGGAAACCTTCTAGGTTTCTGTTTCTTATTGTGCAGTATGTAAGGTTCCTGTGAATTATTCAAGAGATAGTAGGTAATTGAGATCTATGAGTCTCTAAGGCTGCAGATACCCATATGGGAAATAGTATCTAAACTATACGCAAAATTAGTGAGAGAAGATGGAAGAGAAAAATGGGTCCCAACTAAGATCTGACAAATAGCAGCATTTGGAAGGCTTCTCTGTATCACTTAATGAGCTGGACAAAGCAGAAATGAGGTCAGTAGAGCCCTGTGGTTTGGCTGGGTGAAGAGAGAAACATTTTTGGTGTGATACCTTCCTGGCTGCAGCAGCATCTCACCTATGCACATGGCCTGCCCCCTTGCGACATTTAGGCCCACCCAGAGCTTGCTGAACACCTAATCCCGGCACTTTCCTGCTTGCTACACTTTGGGTATTTCTCATTTGTATTGAAAATAAAGATACAACCCTCTTGTTTTGCAAAGAAATTGGAGTGGCATGAGGCAGTGAACTCAGGAGTTAGCTTTTTCAGTGGTTATGAGGTAAACTTGCAATTTGCATTTTTACCTTTCAAAGCAAAAGTATATTTTTACAAAGGAAAAAATAATAAAGCCTTTACAGCTTAATATGAAATTTTAAGATACATTTAATTATGTGCTATATATATGTTGAATACCTCTTCTTAGAACATATCACAGTTTTTTTTACTCATTCACATCAATGATGTTCATATATAACCTAGCTCCATGAGTTGTGTCTCTAGCATGTGTATAATATATATACATATATAAAGCATTACTTATATTCTCACATTAACTTCAGAGTAATATTGTAATTATTTATAATGTCCCTGTTCTTAACTGGAAAGGTCTTTTGACATGACTTTAACCTCAATCAACAATACCTGAAATTTTAAACTTAACGGTTAAGTTCTGTATTGTGATAATGAAATGCAAGAGTTTGTTTTTGTAATTTTTAATTTTTTTATTGCTTCTTTATCTGAAAAGATCATAAGCTTGTCCTTTTAGGGTATTTTATGTAGTAATAGTTGGTTGTCAGAACATTTTTTAATAGGAAACTAGAGGATAAATAAGAGTTGAATTTCTCTTAATTATGAAAACAGTCTTCCATGCATTACATTAAGAAAAGAAAAACATAGGCTTTATGAGTAAACAGAAATAAATAATCCTAGAACAGTAGAATGTATTCTCTAAGGTACACTGTAAAGAAGACAATGATTTATAAACAAAAATAAAATGACAGATGCAGTGCTTGTGTTTATAATAAATATTTGTGGAAGAAATGGAACAGATGTCGTAGGGATTGCTCCATTAATTCTTCCTTTGTTGCTATGCCAAACAGTGAGGCATGATGTGAAGAACACTGCCATGGACGGTGTGCTGTGATTTAATAGTATAGGTTGTTGATGAAAAATTAGTGAATTAGGCACCCAATTCACCTACAAAATTTGTAGTTTCAACTTGATTCTTGGGTTTGTACATAAATTTATACCAGAACTTAGAAAGAGGCTGGCTAACTTCTTTTGGAATAAGAAAGGTTTTTCTGGTTATGTCTTAGCATTTCATTTAATCCAGTTAAGTTTCATGTGTCTTCATGTATAGAAGTGAAAGCATTTCTTAACTTTCCTAAGTTATTTCTAAAAGAGAGCTAATAATTGTTTGTTTTTACATTTCCAAGACTGCTGAGAAGTCAGGCCAGATCGAAAGAGCAAAGAATGTAAGGCAGAGACAAAGTGATTTCAAGGTAAGTGAGGGATGAGACTGCCAACTCTTCAGAGCACTGGGTTTTCTCTCCCACCATTATTGAAGACTTTATAGGCACGATACATTTTATCATGCAGTTTTGCTTTTCGTTTTCTAGAAAATGATTCAGGAAGTAATGCAATCCCTGGTGAAGCTGATCCGGGGAGCCCTGCTCCCACTCAGCCTCAGAGAGGGCGATGGAAGGCAATATGGAGGTTGGGAGGTGCAGGCAGAACTCTCAGGGCAGTGGCTCGCACATGTCATCCAGACCATAAGGTAAGTATGGACCCATGGGAGCCATATGCATTGAAAGGGTTCAGTGGGTTTACATGTATTTGTTTGCTTTAGTGCTTTTTGAAAACGGTCAGCATTCCAGGGTAGGATGTGATGCTTAACATGTCAACAAAGAATTAACTTTCTGTCTCTCTGTCCTGCTACTTCTCCTATTTCTCACTTAGAATCTAACCAAGCAACTCTTAAGCATCCATGGAGTTTGTGCTGGATAAGAATGTCACCCTGTATTGCATCCATCTATTGCAGGGGCCCTGTATAGCCCCTGCTGCACTCAGCCTTCAACCTAACACTGTTGCTAATAAGCCCTATAAGGTGTAATTACAGGATAGTCCAGGCAGTGGCAGGGATTGCTTGGGGCCCCATTTACTCACTGTGTTCTGTTTCATTTGTTTGCCAGGATGACTTATGAATCATTGACTGCCCTGGAAATTCCCAATGACATGTTACAGATTATCCAGGACCTAATTTTGGACCTCCGTATACGTTGTATAATGGTGACACTGCAACATACTGCAGAAGGTATGTTAGGAAAATTAATAGCTTTTACTAGACAGAGTTACCTGAGTTGGCTTATTTCCAGCTTCCAAAGGTGTGAAAATAAGAGAAAACTAGTGTTAGGGGAATTTGGATGTATTTATTCATTTCTAGCTATAGAATAGAATTTTTTAAAAGTATTTTTAAAACAATTTAGTTGAGATTTAAGACACTGCAGAAGTTAAGGTGGATGTACTTGAAACTAAGAATTTAAGAACATCTTTGTAACAAATTTTAAATAGAAACTGCCGAATAGAAAAGTATGTGTAAAATAAGGATCCTGTTTAAAATTTACATGAAATCAGAATACCATTGGCAGTGTTTCTATGAATGCTAGAAATTACACATGGTTTTCTTTATTCTTTAAATTTTTTCCAGAATTTTTTATGTAGAGCCACCAAAAGGCTGCTAAGTTATTTTTGTAAAGTGACTGTTGAAGCACTAAAGTGTTAAAACAAAAAGAAAAAAACAAGAACTTTGTTATAAATAGCATATACCATTATCATCTGCCACCAGGATTTTAAGTGAGGAAGGCCCTGCACTGTAGACTTGGTAGTTATTAATACATTGTGTCAAAGGGAAGAGAATGGAATCCAGTTAAGAATCTAAACATCCCCCCACCTTCACGGAAGGAAGCTTCCCCGCTGAAAGTTTGGGCCAGGGTCTTTCCTCAAGTGAGATGCAGCCACCATTCAGGAATGAGAAGGAGTACTCACGCTGAATCTAAATTACAGTTTGGAGTTCAGAGAAGAAATCCTGGAGGCTTACTTTACACATATCCAGCACTTGGTGAAAAATACTGAGTGAGTAGTCACTGTTGTGAGGTAACTTTGATCCTAGTCTAGAAGGCTCCAAATTAGGCTGTGTGAAAAAACAAACAAAAACCCCAGAAGTATTTGCATGAGCATGGTGGTGGTGCACACCTCTTGTCCCAGCACTTGGAAGACAGAGGCAGGTGGTTCTTATGAGTTTTGAGGCCAGCCTGGTCTACAGAGTGAGTTCCAGAATAGACAGAGCTAAACAGAGAAACTGTCTCAAAACACAAACAAACAAAAATGATTTTGCTAGAGAATGTGAACAATACATTACTGAGTCCTCAGGTCTACCAATATTACATTGTATCTCTTTTTTTCACAAACATAAAAAATAATTAAAAGCCACAACTCATGGATTTTGTTTCTCTTGAAGCTCAGTGAGATAATTATAATAGAAAGTATCTGTGTCTTTGTTTTCCATGTAGAAATAAAAAGATTAGCTGAAAAAGAAGATTGGATTGTTGATAATGAAGGACTGACTTCCCTAGTAAGTTTAAATTACTTTTTATTATTATTAGTGTTTGTTATATACAAAGTAAATGCTTTTATATTAATAAGAACCATACCTAATTCATATTATAGCACTGACTAGTTTCTAGACATTATAACATAATCTTAAAACATCCTTTCCCAAAGTCAGTTTTACTTACTGCTGATCAAAGACATTTAAAATGAGTGAACAGTGGGAGTCATGGTGGTCTGTCTCACTGCTGCATCACTACTTCTGTTTGCATTACTTTTTAGTACTAGAGCATCTTAATTCCACATGTCTTAGCAACCTGAAGTTTTCAGAAAAACAAGATAGAAGAATGATTCTATCCCCAAAACTAAAACAAAACCAAAACAAGAAGCACAAGCCTCTGTAAGCAGTTGTTGTACACAGGTCAAGTAGTACACAGACTCAATGTGTTCATTCTAGAACATCCTCTTTCTGGGTGGGTTTAGTATTTTAATTACCTTTGAAAATACTTTCCATAATTTTTAATGTTTTCATGCCTGTCCAATGGGTGCCCTAACAGTCTGATAGTAATCGGGCTGTTGCTGAAACAGACCTTATACAGGAGGACAGTGGTTGCCTTTTCTTCATGCTCACTAGACAGCTTGTCATACAGCCTGTGCCCAGGGTCACATCTGTTCTTATGACCCTCTGCATTGGTTTCTGTGTGGCAGTCCTGGTGGCTCCTCTAGGCCTTACTTCTGCCAGGAAGAAAGTAGAGCAGTATCTGAGCGCCACAGCCACTGTCTTCAGAGCCTGTTGGCTAGAAAGTATCCCCATGCCCCAGGAAATAGCTGTTCAGTGGTGTGGCTACTGCCAGTTTCTTTCATGTCCTCTTTTGCAAGGGACAGAAAATAAATTCTGAGGATGGAACTAATAGCTTCTGCCAAGAATAAAGTGGATTTTGCCCTACAAATTATAAATCACTGGTAAGTTGGGAACAGAGGTACCACACAGCGTTTTTCCTTTTCCTGGAGTCTGCACTGGCTCTGAGGGATCTTACTTTAGAAGTTGGGGCTGGTTGTCTCCTCTGGAGTTCAAGGCTCTACTCCAGGCCAGTATAAATGGATACCAGTGTTCTCTAAGCTTAGAAAAGACATGCCCACCTCCAGTGTTTTCTAAGTTAAATCATGCAAGAGATGAGTTGAGATATTTTATTAGTTTTAATAAATCAGTTATGATTCTATTGCAGAGGATCTTTAGATGAAAATGTTTAACTGGTAGGATTTGCTCTATTGATTCTATTATTTGCATTTAAATAAAAAGGATTCTTTGATTAGTTCTCTCACACTAAATCTGTAGAGGAAGGGTGTATATAATACTTAGTTCTTCACTTTCTAAGATACATAAAGGACTGTACGATAGTTTTTATATTGATTGTATATTGAAATCATTTGAATATTCTAGTTTCATTTCTGTTGCTATGCTAAAATACTCAGAACAAAAGCAGCATAGAGGAAGAAATGGAGTCTTTAGCTTACAAGTCCAGGTCACAGTCTGTCATTGAGGGGAGTCAGGGCAAGAACTGTTCCACCCAGCAGTGTCTTTAGTCAAGGGACTCACTTCACAGCCAGTGCAGTTAAGCAAGAACCATGAGAGAGGATGTTTGATGGCTGGCAGCAGGCTTATAGTCCCATTAATTTTCTGTATAGTTCTGAATAGCTTGTTTAGGGGGTGCTGCTCACAGCAGGCTGGGCCCTACTATATCAGTTAAGAAGACAAGCCTCCACAGACATTCACAGGCTGATCTGATCTGAGTATCTGCTGAATTCGCGCTCCCCTCCCAGTTGGCTTATAAGGGACTATGCACTAAAGCACCATGTAAACTGCAAAGGTTTGCAAAGGAGTTTGCTTGTTAATGTTTGTAGGAAAGGGAGCCACCCTGCTAATTACTTGCTTGCATGATTCCTTACTATGTCTTAAAATCTCTTCTAGGCAACTAAGAGTCAGAGACCCTAAAGGGTATGCTAAAAGGGAATTATTGTGATATCAGCCACTGATGAAATAGGTGTAGAAAGTTTGATGTCAAGTGACCTTAATGTGGTGCTTGATACCTATCTCAAATTAGTTTTGTACAAAGGAAAGAAAAAAAAAAGCTGTATGTTCAGTTTGAGAAAGTTAAAGTCCTTGTTTCATTAAAAGACAAAAACTGGCCAACATCTGTCCTCCAGCACAAAGCAGACTCTGGCTGTGGATCTTTCCTGGTCAGTAAGTCAGCATGCACAGCCTCCTGGGCCCTGCCTCATAGATTAGGCCATTGTGAAAGGACCCTGAAAAATGACTAGACAGATCATTAGGGAAATATGGCTATAGTCTATTTCTAAAATTGGATTCCCCTAGTGCAGTAATAATAATAAGGTAGTTAATTTGTGTTTAGCTCCCCTCCCCCACCATACACACAAAAGCCACATGAGTGCACACAGGGTTAAAAAGAACTAAGCCCTTTGGGTCACGTGAACAAACAGCTGAAGTGGTTCATCTGAAGGCAGCCAAAGCATCCTCTAGACAAATGCAGGGGAAGACGGCAGCTGGCTGTCTGGTGGGCTCGATGATGCTGATGACCTTTGTAGCTGCTCAGCACAGAACTCTCTCAAAAGGAGAGGAGGGTCAAGACTTAGAGCAGGAGCCACATCCCAGCTCGAGGGTGTGCACACTCATCTTTGAGGGGACAGGATCATTTGCATGCCCTTATCCTTTGCCTAGCACTTGTGAGGAGACTGCTTCTCCCTTTGCTGTGCCTGAGATTAGGAAGGGTCCCTTGTGTGCTGTGGAAGTGAGCCCTGAGCCTTTGAGGTCATGGCTGCTCTTGGTCTGGAATGTGTCTTCAGCAAGAAACTCACCAAGGCCCCTCAACAACTTAGTGGAAAGCGTGCTGCTTTGTCAAAAACGCATCCTCCCTTCTTCCTTCCTCCTGTCCATCTGTCTGATTTCCCTCCCTCCCTTCTTTTTTTTCTAACTTGGAGAATTCTTTCAGAACTAGAGTAGTTTTGATAACCTCTTATAGGTGGTTAATTGACAAGAAACAGAGAAGTTTCTAGAATAGGAAGAGCAGTTGTTTAGCGTGCTATTTCCTGATGCCTTGACAGAAGCTGCTTTCTAAACCGTCTAGTGTTTCCTATCCATTCATGGAATTCATATGGATGTAAAGGTTAAGCAAGTCTAGTTCAAATCCTAATACAAGATTTCTAGTTCAAATCCTAACCCCAGCATCTCACTGCCCACAGCTGACATTGAGTTTTCATTCTCAGTATTATGCTTGCTATTTTTGTTTAAATCTTCTATTGCTGTGCCTACTTGTGGATGGTAGGTTAAATAAGCAGACCATCATCTGACAGTTTGTTTGTTCTTTCATTGTTTTGTAATCTTTGGGAATTAAACCCCAGGCTTCCTACATGCTGGCCACAATGAACAGTGTAACTCCAGATGCTTTTTTGTGCATTTATGGTTCAGCCTATTCTTCCTTTTCACACTTCTACTTTAATCTGTTCTTCATGGTGCCCCAGTGATTTCAAAGTGTATCAATATAGTGACACTACTAATACCAAGACCCTGTTTTGTTTTTTTACGTATATGGATTTTTCTTCTGCTTTTTTTCTCAAACACCTTCTAAAAACTGATGCCTGCGGTTCTTACTGCAGATGTCCTGCCCAGAGTGGGCTATGCAGTGTTGGTCTTGGCCTTGCACAGAGTCCTTGAAAATCTTAGGTCCTAACTGCACCTCTGCACTTATTTTCAGTGTTGGCAATTCACTGTTCTTCCTGTGGCCCTCAGTCCTCATGATTCTGCCTGGTCCTTCCTGTGCCATGATGTCCCCATACCTCTCTCTCCCTGTTCTCAGGGACTTTGGCCATCCTGTTTAGGGAGAAGACTCTCCAGCACCATTTTCTTCTATGAACTTCAGTATTTTCTTCATGATGCTTATTATTGTTTAAATTATATTTTCATGTCTATTAAAAAAACATCACTGTAACTATCATGTGGGTCTCTCTCAACTTGGAAAAGTGTGTAATGAGAATTTTGTCTATCAGATCCACTCATGTGAGCTTCAAGTAAACACAGAACACAGGCACTGGGATGTTGAGATCTGTTCCCACTTTTCATGGAGTGCCTTTGCTTAAACATATTTGCAAGTTTCTTTTATTTTTTCTTTTTGGTATTTTGAGACAGGGTTTCTCTGTATAGTCATGGGTGCCCTAGAACACTGTAGACCAGACAGGCCTTGAACTAAGAGACCTGCCTTCCTCTGCCTCCTGAGTGCTAGGATTAAAGGTAGGCTGCAAGTTTCATTTTTTGACTTAGTGATGTAGGAAATAAGTATAATGACTCAGCTGGCTTTAAGGATTTTGCACCTCCTCCAGATGGTTGCTATAACATTAGGTTTGACTGAACAATGTAAGAGATGTAAGAGATGGCCTAGAAAATTGAGTTCATGCATAATATTCATGCATTATAGTCCTCAAGTATGAATGCCTTATATTTGCTCCTTGTTGGTTTCCTATGAAAGGAGAATTTTGATGAAAAATTTACTCAGTTCTACATGGATTAGAAAAGCTGTAGTTTCTAAATTTTCCCTTTTAAAACATGCCAATCTCAACCTCAGTGAGTATAGACTTATGGTCAGATTGTGTCTTTGTTCTTTTCTGTAACTCTGAGGACTTGAGCTTTTAGCCGCATTCAGCTCCATAAATACGTCTTCATAGCCAGTGCAGTGTCTGTGTTTAAGGAGGTTTTCTTTCTTTCAGCCATGTCAGTTTGAACAGAGCATCGTGCACTCCCTACAGTCATTGAAGGGTGTTGTCGATTGCAAGCCTGGAGAAGCCAGCGTGAGTTTCTGTTGTGTTCTTCCTGCTTTCGCCAGCCTTAAGAAATCCCTGCCTGGTGGGAAGGGACTGGAAGGAGAGGAGGGAGGGGAAACTCCGGTTGGGGTGTAACAACAAAAAGAAAAGAAAAATTCCCTACCTGGGAATCACAGTGAGCTGTAGTTATTGATGTCCTAGAGCCACTCTCTCTTCCAAAATGCCTTCATTTAGTTACCCACATAGATATGTTGAATCCATGTTCCATGGCATGCTGAGTAGTTAGAATGTGAGTCCAGTAGCTTCAAGCAGAGCGGGGTTCTTGTGGACTGAATGACTGACTTGGGTATTATCAGCCAGCTGGGAATCAGAACCATCATAGGCAACCTAAAGCTAGCCCTTCTAGAGTAAGATTACTGATAGGCAGAGTGGTTTTCTGTGTTTTAGCTTTTATATTTAGCTCTTGTTTTGTTTTCTTGGCATAATCAAAACCTTTTTAAAATCTAAATTCTTTCTCATAGGTCTTTCAACAGCCTAAAACTCAAGAGGAAGTTTGCCAACTAAGCATCAGTATCATGCAGGTAACTAAAAGCAATGGTATAGACTCTGTATTCATACATTGATCTGTCATTCACCATTGATAATGTTCATTTCACTATTAAATAAGAGTTCTTTAAAATTTCATCTCTGTACATACGCATTTAGAGTAAGTCAGCTATACAGATGAAACTAATGTAGGATTAGTTCTTGTTTGCTTTAGCAGTATCTGTGTATCTCATTTATATTGTGTTCTGTTGTCCTGGTACTTTGTATTCATTTCCTGTAGACAGCAGAGTAAGTTAAATGAAAATTGGTTGCTTATAATTCATCCAGAGTTGTAAGGTTGTTTGATTGGAACCAGTGCTTCATAGGTACATGTATAAATAAGGAAAAGAAAAAGGGTCTTTCTTCCAAAATGTATTCAGGAACATAACAACTGACTCAAACAAGGTGTTTTTAATATTCTGCCACCTATGTAATTAGATGTTGATGAGGAATATATATTTCTACTACTTAGTTCACATGTATACACACACACACACACACACAAACACACACATACCTGCACACCTACATTATTACACACATCTCTGCCCTACCTCATTTTTTATGGGCCAGACAGTTCTGCTCTAATTTGTATAAAATTGTTTTAATATTCAAATAGATTAATACCTGAAAACTCATACTATTGAAACTTGCTATTTTTAATCCAGGTTTTTATATACTGTTTGGAACAACTGAGCACCAAACCTGATGCAGACATAGATACTACTCAGTAAGTAAATATATAATTCATTTCCTTGATGCATTTAAGAGTAATAAATGTAAGACATGTAATCTAGGTTGGCGGGACTGTGCTTTGGCTGCCCTCACTCTCTTCAGCCCGAGTCGGCCTTCTGAGCCCTTACCCAGCCCTGACTCTTGACAAACACTTGTAGTTGTCTCCCAACACTGTTACACGGAGCAGCACACAGTGTAGTTTTCTCGGTTGACACTGAGCATGTGCAGTCCTTCTGAATGACACTTGGCATGTGAAATTCCTGTGCACCTAAGGGCCCTGCTTTAACACAATATCAAAATAAGTGTTTTAATCCAGTTGGCAATTTGAGAATTTTTCTGCTTAGTGTCTTAGTTCGGGTTTCTATTGCTGTGAAAAGACATCATGACCATGGCAACACCTATCAAGAAGCATTTAATTGTGGTGACTTACAGCTTCAGAGGTTCAGTCCATAATCATCATGGAAATGGTGGTGTGCTGCATGGTGCTGGAGAAGGAGCTGAGAGTTCTGCACCTTAATCTGAAGGCAGCAAAGGAGAGACTATGTACTGGGCATAGCTTGAGCATATATGAGACTGCAAAGCCTGCCCCCACATATTTCCTAACAGTGCCACTCTCTGTGGGCATTCAAACACATGCGTCTGTGCAGGTCATTCCTAGCGTTAACTTTTGCTCTTCAGTATATAAACTATCATCTCCAGTGAACAAATACTTCTTTAAATAATTGTGTGTGTGTGTGTGTGTGTGTGTGTGTGTGTGTGTGTGTGTGTGTACATGTCCAGTGTTTTTACCTGCAGGTGTATGCATGTTTATGTGTATGTGTGAGTGCACGGGCACTTTGTGGTCAGAAGTAGATGAAAAATGTTTATCTCAGATATGTCTCTGCCATATATATGGGCTGGGTCATTCATTTGAACCCAGAGCTCACTGACTCAGTTTGTCTAGCTGGCTCATTTCCACCTCATAAGTACTGAGAGTACTGGTGAGCTATCCTACCAACCTGGTATTTACATAGAGATCTGAACTCTGCTCCTCACATTGGGTGGCAAGCACTACATTCACAGACATCTCCCCAACCCACACTTTTAATTCCTGTAGGTCTTCTTTGACTTGATTTCATATATTTGGCTCATTATCCCACCAGAATATTGTGTTAGTGTTCACAGGCAGATCTGTGATCTGGTTAAATCAATCTTTTCTTATTTGTTAAAATTTCTGTTTCCTACATTGCTGATTCTAACGGGTAGTGTAGCATTTCCGAACTTTTCTTCAGCTCTAATCATTCAAATATACTCTATATCAGTTAATGCTATTTTAATTGCCATTACTTTATATTTCAACTCTTTTCAGATTGGTATCTTTTTGTTGTTTTGTTAGTTTGTTTTGTTTTGGTTTTTTGAGACAGGGTTTCTCTGTGTAGCCCTGGCTGTCCTGGAATTCACTCTGTAGACCAGGCTGGCCTGGAACCCACAGAGATCTGCCTACCTCTGCCTCCCAAGTGCTGGGATTAAAAGCATGTACCACCACCTCCCAGCTCTGATTGGGATCTTTTTATTATCTCTATTTTGAAGTATTATTTCATATTGATTATTTTAGACTTCCATATTAATTCAAGTCTGTCAAGTTTAAAGAAAAATTCTGCTAAGGTGTGTCTTCTGATTCTGTTAAATCAGTATATTAGTATATTAGTGGGTTGCTTACCTGCTTTTGTCTTTCACATTTTTACATTTTTGATTGCTTTTGTGTTATCAACTAATTTCTTAGCTTACCAGTAAAACTGTGAAAGTGAACTTCAACCCTTCCCCTGGGAATTCTGATAGTCAAAAACATTTTAATTATGTGAGTATTGTTTGACATTTTCCCATTTGGTAATTTGTTTTTTAATTTAATACAGCCACTTGACTATTGATAATGATGCCATATAAGTTTTATATGACCCAGGATAAGAGATAGTCCTCAGTGCTTCCTTATGATATTAATAATTAAGTACAAAGAAAATCTACAGAAAGCTGTACAGCCACTTTTATCAAAACATTTGATGTCATTGTAGTTTTCAGTCAGTTTTAATTGTGACTATTCTCTTCTGTGTTTAGTCTTTCTGTTGATGTTTCTTCTCCTGATTTGTTTGGAAGCATCCATGAAGACTTCAGTTTGACTTCAGTAAGTAAAATGCCAAACACAGAAAGTAAAGTATATCATGTTAAAGGTAATGGCTGTGGCAATCAGCCTAAGTCACTTGAATGGAAAACATCATCGCATGTAAGATGAACTCTGTGGACACTGCGGTACACTCTGGGACAACATTATATTGTATAAAGATTTGTGTGTATTTCGCAGAAAGAAATTTCCATCTCGAGTTAAACATAAAGAAACCCAACACATCCGCTGTATCTTGAGTGTTTAAAGGGTACTGGTTGTTCCCTGGTGCTGCAGAGTTGCCTGGATGGCCTGGGAGGAGGCTGAGGGCAAGGCATTTCCTTTGTGTCATTTGCTTCTCTTGCCTGACAAATTCCACTTTTCTCTGCTTTATTTCTTCTAGCACCGTGTTTTATTTGAACATAGGTTACATGACAAAGCCAAAACCAAATTCCTACAGGCAATCTAATGGAGGCATTTACTCATTCTCAGTTGAGATTCTTCTTCCAAGATAACTGTAGCTTGTGTTAAGAAAAAAATAATAATAAATCAGCAAGGACAAAGAGCAAGAGTGAAGGGAAGCCATAACATGAGTTGAAACCAGCCTTCCCTGGCAAATCTAGGAAAAAGTCGGGTAGAAGGGATGGGACTGGAGGAAAAAGCCTTGGAAGCTAAGACCCTTCCAGTCATCTGGGCCAACTATGCTTTTGTTTTCTTGGTCTTTTAGATGGAGCCTAATTGATACACAGTGACCTTTCTGACCTTTGTTCCCTTCCCACCTCCCATTAAACACTGGGACCCATCAACCGTTTCCCAGCTGGTTTGTGTGCACCCCTGCTATGGAGTGCTGCCCTGAGCCTCTCATCCCTCTTTAGGGATAAGAGGAGAGCCAGGCGGTTCCACGTGATCCTTCTCCCAGGAAGTGCAGAGCTGCCCTTCAGGCTCTTAGCAGTCTCCAAGGGTTTTGCACTTCCTTTTGCTCCTCACAGCATCTTACCTGTCCACTTACTTCCCAAGATACGTTCATCCATTTGCAATTTGTTCTGTCTTTCTTCCCATGGAGGGGGTCTATCAGATCTGAGTCTTCTCAGGGGATCAAGATTCTCTCATGGCTGTGCTAACCAGCAGGAAAGCAGATTGGGTAAGAAAGAGATCTAGATTTAGAGTCAGAAGATTCTTCTTACAGCGTCAGGGGCTTTGAGAGCCAAAGTGTCCATTTCTGGTGCTGTCTGTCAGTACAGAGAAGTCCTGCATATATATGGCCCATTCCTGCATATGCAGGCACTACATGCAAATGTGTGTCTCTATACCAGCACCAGGTGCTAACAAGCTTCAGATGAGCCATCCAAGCCCAAGAACTAGATTGTTGTCATTCTTCGGTTCTTCCGACTTTGATTTCATATGATCTTTCGGATAACATATATGAACAAAATATACTTGCTAAGAGTTAGTCTCTAGGTTACTGAAGTATTTCTTCTCACTATGCAGAGGTTCCATACATGCTGTAGTGGGGAAAAGCAAGTCAGGACATCTGGAGACCAGGGCAGGAAAGACCTGCAGGCTCAGTCAACTAGAATGGAAGTCTGAGTCTAAATGAAAGAGGGGTGAAGGATGGGTTGAAGCCATTTGGCACATTTGTGGGGTTCAGCATGCTGGGAGTGGCTGCTGGAAAGTCACTTACTTCATGCCCTATAAAAGGAATGTGTCATGATATGTCAGAAGTGACGAAAGAGAGTATGGCTTCACCATGCCCAACTTGCTTCCTTTCTAGTATTGTTCCTGCCATGTATTCACTATGGAAAATTAATGTCATATAGAGTATGACCTCCTCTGGCCTTTTTAAAATGCCATTTCCCATTTAAACGTTAGTTCAGGGCCACCAGCAGCATTTTGTTGTCTGGGTTACTTTAGTGGCTCTCCAATCTTTTATTTATATCTGTTGATGACCAAAACCGGTGGTAAGTAGGCAGCATTGTGCTGGAAATAAAGATAGCTAATTGTAATAAAGAACAAGAAGATGTTGGGCATTTGGCTGAGTTCGATATAATTACTAGAAGACAGATTTGCTTGGCTATTGACTTTAGAGACTCTAGTTTATCCCTTGGTTCACATGCCTCAAAGAATGTGTTTTTCTGCATTTCTCCCCTGGAGTACTTAACTATAAGTTTCTCTGATTATGCACAGAAAGAGTAACCAACTGTGGGTGAGAACTCTTCCTGGAAAATGGTTGTGCCTTAGTTTTAGTCGAGGATCTTGACTGAAGGCCCTGGATGAGTCACCATTCCAGAGAATGCCCCCCACCTGCAGGAACACTGACCCGGGCTACCCTGAAGTGAACCGCAGCAGCAGCAGCAGGGGCCATTCCTAGAATTTTATTTACTGATATAGTTCTTCTGAACTGTAAAAAGTCCATTGTATTCATAGCATTGCAAGTACAGTCTAATAATTGTGTAGGAAATTATTTAGGTGGGTAAAGCCTTGAAGAATATAACAACAAGAGACTCTCTTCCCTGTTCCTTGTCTTCCTGGGGTGAGGTAGAGTGGCCTCAGAGACACTCACTCCCCATTGGAAGGAGGCTCTTCCTGGATGTAGGAAGCATGCCCACAGGCCCTCACAGTCAGAAACTTCTAAGGAACAAGGAGCCTTTCAGATAGATAATATGGTATTAAAATGTTCTCAAGTTATGAAAGATTCATAAACTATTTTCTAATAGTTCCTACATTTTAATATCAATTTGTGTGGCCTTTTGTGTGTATAAAATATTAAAGGAAATATTTGACTTTTTCCTTGGGGGGTATTGGATTTAGAGCCCAGAGCCTTGAGCATTCCGGAGAAAAACTCAGGGCTGAGCTGTACCTCAAGTCTCTTAACTCTTCAGTGTAAGTGGAATAGTCAACAATTAGTGGAATGTTTTTCTGTGTATCAATTTTGGGAAATAAATAGCCAAGAAAAATCAAGGCATTAGATATTGATTTTAAAGGGCAGAGTCCTGATATTACACTTAATACATGATCAAGATTACTGTTCGCATTCACCAGTACTCTCAATGCAAACTTCTAAAGGCCTGTTTGAATTTTAGGAGCAGCGGCTTTTGATAGTCCTGAGTAATTGCTGCTATTTAGAACGCCACACCTTCCTAAACATTGCAGAGCATTTTGAAAAGCACAACTTCCAGGGAATAGAAAAGATAACACAGGTAAGTGTTTTGGTATTCAGTCAGCAAGTCTGAATACCTATTTTCTTGGCACCTACTGGGCTGCCCTTCCCTCCTGTTACCCAGGCCTCCATTCTTCTCACCCCACCTGTAGGGGATGACTTCCTTCCTTGCTGTGAACTGTTAATGTAACACTGCTTTTCTCTGGAGCAAAGCTTTCTTGTGGTTGAAGTGGTTTGCTCAACCCTGTCAGAACTGTTCAAAAGTCAGGTAAGACAATTAGGAGAGAAAAAAATCAAACCGAAATCTTTAAGTATCTTCCCCATTTGGCTCCTGTTATGAGGGTTAAGCCTTTAGGCACTGCTGACAGCAGTTCTGATCCTAACTGCAGAGACCCCTTCCTGCTGATCCAGCCTGTTCCTACCTTCTTCCTCTCCCTGAGATTGAAGCCCACCTGACTTCTTAAGCAGAGCATGCTCACATCCTGCTCTCTGGCCCCTTCCTTCCTGGCTTACCAGAACTTGTGTGTGCTTTGTGCTCCGCCTGCTGGAAGTAGGCAAAAGTGTGTATGCAGATCAGTGGAGCTGGTTTGGTGTTTTAGGATGTTCGCGCTCTTGTTTATAGTTTTTCAAATAAGCAGAAAAGGAAAAAATGAAGTACCATGTTGTAAAGGTTACTAGTTCCTGAGCAAAGTTTATCAGATTTCTGGGTAAAACTGAGCCAACTGTCTAATGCCAGTGCACTTTTCTCAGAGAAGAAAACAAGAAAGATAACCATCTTGTTAATCATGTAATCAGAGTTTACTCTCAGTGGACGATCTACTTTTTATAAATGTGCTTCCAGTTCATACACTAGCTTGGGTTTTTTTGTTTTTTTTTTTTTTTTAAGAATGAAAATGTCAGAGTGGGTGGCTCTGTCTTGTTTTCCTGCCTTTTTGTAAAGATTAATCATCCTGCTGATAAATGCTGTGACTTAAGGCTTTGAGGCCAAATGTCTAGTTTATTTCCAGAAAATTTTCATGTTCATAATTGTAAGATCTGTGGAACATGGGTACTTTGCTTTTATTCAGTCAAATACTAATGTGTGGGGTAATTAAAAATTGCATAGGTTAGAAGCATTGTTTGACTTCCTCTCTGTTTTTGTAAAGTAATAAGCAGAAATTATGTTACCTCAGGTTATACTGAACTGTATAAAGCAAAATGAAACTGACATAAAGGAAAGTTTTTGATATCTTTCCCTATCTTTGTCTACATCACAGAAAAATAATATGAGGACCCCAGCTGGCTTAGAATAGACACTAGGCTTTTTGCCCACTTAGCATTATGTTTTAAAGAATTATTTCTTGAATGTCTTGAAATTATTCAGATGTGGCTGAAAGGAATAGAGTAAAGCAGTTTGGACCACAGCACACCTGCTTACTATACTGTCATGCTGTCAAGCAAGCAGGAAAATGTCACTCACAGCCCTTATTTTTCACAGTTCCCTTTCCAGTGACATAACTCTAGACGCCTGCAATAAAGTCATAAGACAGGTCACATGGACAGCCATCTCTCCTGTTTCTGTGTTTGTCCTGCAGGTAGAGGATCTCTCCATGGTCACTGGATGGCCCCCTCTTTCCATTCCTACTGTGGGATGTGCTGGCTGGAAGGGCAAGGGGAGACACTTCTCCACGATGATTCCTTCCTCTTCTCTCTTCCCCCCTTCCTCCTGCCTTTCCTTTTCCCTTCCCTTTTTTCTTCCTTATTGGTGCTCTGCCAGTAGAAGTCTGAAAACCGTCATTTCTAAGATTCTTTCATCTTGTTTCTTAAGTAATTAAGTGTTTATCTTGTTTCTTTCTTTAAAATTTTATTATGTTACACATGCCATGGCATTCATATGGAGGTCAAAGGACAACTTGTGGGTGCTATTTCCACCGTGTGGATCCCAGGTGTTAAGAGAAGCTTTTTCCTTTGCTAGCTGCTTTGGTTTATCCCCTGCCAGCCGCCTGGCACTTTCTAGTCCCCAAATAAACACACAAGACGCTGTATTAATTATGAAGCTGTTGGCCTTATTTGTCTCTTACTGGCTAGCTCTGCCTTAAGTAATTACCCCATAATTGTTAATCTAAGTATGTTTCTTACCGGAGAATAGTTCCCGGCGTCCTACCCCCATGGCGTCACATGTTGACTCTCTTGTGTTTCCCCTTCCCAGAATCCTCCTCGACTCCTAGTCCCTCCTATCTAGGTTTTCTATTGGCCAGACAGTACTTTATTGACAAATGCACAGGCAAATAACAGGACTTCCCCAACACCCAGGGATTGGATTCAGTAATCAGGCTTGCCAGCCAGCACCTTTACTAACTGTGTCATCTCTCTGGCCTCTTCATTTTGTTTTTACCTTCAAAATAGAGCTGATTTAATATAAAAATAGTATATACACAGTCATGCTTTTGGTGACTTTATTAAAATTTAATGATCAGTGATGTGTGTGTGTGTGTATGTGTGTGTGTGTGTGTATGTTTTCGGGGGGGTCTGTGTAAGCCAGAGGCCAACATCAGGAGTCTGCCTCTATTTTCTCCCTAATTTTTTGAGGTAGGCTCTCTCACTGAACCTAGACTTCACCAGTTTTGGCGAGGTTAGTTGGCCATCAACTCCTGGGCTTTAGGTACATACCACTATAGTTGGGGTTCACACTAAGGATTCATGTTTGTGCATGGGGCACTGACCAAACTAGCCAGCTCCCAGCCCCCTCATATATGATTTTATCTACTATAGAATCTCTGAGAAATAAATGAGGGTGATATTTTAGTTCTGTGATTTTCATAGGGGTAGAGGTGCAGAGTGTGTGTGAACGTCACTTGAAAGTAGCAGGGACTTGAAAATAAGTCTTTTGATTCCAAGTCCTCAGTGCTTCCAGTCCTATATTATATACTAAGGCCAAGAATGGAACTGGTCTCATGATATACTCCAATACTCCAAGAAAGTAGAAATAGACCATGAAGCTAATTGATTAATTAATGTGTGGCATTTTGACCTTGAGCAACACTGAGTGGTGGTTTATTTAGATGAGAATATAAAGCCCTCTTACACTGCAAGGTTCCACCTTACAACAGGCCTCTTGAGGAACCCACAGGTCTCTACCTTATGTCACAGATAGCAAGTGCTGTGTATCTAGATTGTTCTATCTCCTCACCCATCTTCTGTTTCTGTTTGTGAAAGACCTAACTATATTTTTGAAAAGGAGAAATAAAAATGAAAATCCTCTTTAATGAACTAGACAAAGTGTTTATTGTTGTTAATAAGACAGAAGATTACTTCTAACTTCTCCAGTCACCCCCAACAGTAAACCTAAACCCATTCCTAATCACCTCTTATATACATACATACTCCACACCTGATCAGCTTCCCTCACTAACTTAACATGGCACCCTAAGATCTGCAGGTTCCTAGTAATAAATAGCCAGTTTGCTTTGGGAAAAGTAGTTACGTTACATCATCATTTCCCAGCATAATTCTTAATTTTCATTTGTAAAATATTCATGTATATATTTTAGTTTGCATGCCTTTTGGAAAATGAGGGCCTTTCCATTTTTATTGACTATATAATAGAAGAGATAGTTGGGAAGCATTTAGAGACCAAAGGAGATGCAGATCTTTGTTCAGAGGATAGAGACCAGATATGAGACAGATCAAATTCCTCAGGAGCACTTGGTGAGCCTTAGCATGTTATTTTATTGTGACTGCTATAATAATAAAGTACTTTTTTGCATAATGTTAGATGCTGCTTAACTTGAATCAATCTTAAGAAAACAAACATCTTATTTAGTATTTGTGTAATTGCAGATTCTTGCTGACTTGGGAATGTAGACATTGATCAAGTCTAGTATTAAATGCTCCTGACTTCAGAAACTCTACTTAAGAGAGTGAAGGGACAGTTTCTTTTCTTCACATATCAAGAGAAGATTCTTTATATATGTAGCATAGTTCATTATTTTTAGCTTAACTGAGTATACTTCTTAGATATTTTAATTTTGTAGCCATTCAAATGTATTGATGGGAATGAATGCAGCTTTGTTTCTTTCCTGCTGTGTTATCTCTGTCTATACTTGTTTTAGCTTCCCATTACTTCATCAGAATGCATTAATTCAATTTGTTAAGAAGCTATTTTTGTACAACAAATGACTTGTAAATGAATTCATCTTAGAGCTTAAGGTTCTATATACAAGTAAGTTGAGCAAATGGGTTCCCTCTTACCAAAAACTGAACTAAATCGTTGATGCTATTAGCTGCCTCACACTCCTTCTACATATGAGAAAGGCAGAGAGATACACATGTGAATAAATAGACAGTGGGGGCTGAGGGCGTAACTCAGCAGTAGATTAGGTTTACTTGCCAGTGGTTCTGTCCACAGTAAGGGAGGGAGGGAGGAAAGGGTAGGAAAGGAAGAGTGAGTGAGGGTGAAGGGAGCAGAGAAAAGAAAACTATACATCAGTCAAGTCAAGAACCTGCCATTGACAGCGTGTTCTCCACTGCAGCCTTTAGAAAAGCTGTCAGGAAAGGAGACGAAAGGTTCAGGCACAGGGTGTGGTTTCAGAAGAAAGAGGGGCTGGATTCCCTTCTGTGTCTTTACAAAGCTGTGAAGGAATAGGAACAAGGGGTTGTTCTGGCCGCTTCTCCCAGGTAGAGTGTGAGGGCATTGCGGTAGAAAGGTTCGTCTGAGCAGGTGAAGGTGCCTCTCTGTCACCATCTCCCGTGTACCTGTGTACTCTGACCATGTGACTGTTGCTTCCATCGACCTGGCACAGTTTCCTTTGGTGATCAGATTTGCCCACAGCTTTATCTACCATTAATGCCAGTGATGCCCAAATGCTTGAACCTTCCACCTCATCCCTTGACTTGATATCCATTTTCTACCACACATCTTCACTAGACATTTCTAGTGGGATTTCAGAGCATCTGGCCAGGATCCCTAAGCCAAAGGCACCTTCCTTTTCTTTTGATGTGTTTCCTGTCATAGATAGTCACCATTGGATCAAATATCCAGAACCTATGAATTGTACCCTT